AATCGCCCCCAACACCCGCACCCTACTCAGTGCCTCTTTGTGTCTCGAAAGAGGAATGAGAGGAGTTGGTGGGAGGCTGATTGGGTGCAGTGCTAATTGCCAGCCTGTCCTGAAATGACAGATCTGTCTCTGGCCTGCTCAGAAATGATATTACAGAGAATTGTACAATGTGTCAAATGGATCACAAAACCTTTTTCCCGTCAGTTTCTCCTTAACTCTTGAGCACATTCTTTATAATGAATTACTCTTAAGAAAAATAAGTTCAAAAACCTATCAATCGAACAGTAAAATAACAAATTTATAGTTAATTTGTAATAGTCCATGACCATGAAGATACCTTTGAAAAACGTCTTGGAGAAGAATATGGAAAACATAAAGAGATTAAATGAAAAAATACATTTAAACTCAGTCCTAAGGAACGTATGTTTTAAACCAGTTCCTGTATGTATTTCCTCTTTAGGACACAAATCCTCTCACAGAATGTGTTGAAATCAAAAGAGAAAGTGAATGATTTTATGAACAACTAAAAAAAAAAAATCAGCTTGTAAAATATACCGTAAAATTAAAGAGGTGTTTTAAGTTCAGCAGTGCAGATAAATTGCAGTTTTGATATAGGATTGCCAATTAAATACGTCAATTTGAGCTTCCACATAGTGTCTCTACTCATATTTTTAATGATTTCTGCACCATATACTCGCACCTTAACTACACCTGCAGCTCAACGAAGGATGGTTGAAGAAGCAGCAAATGAAAAAAAAAAAGACACTGGGGAAATTTCTGTTTTGATTATGATGAAAAATGCCAAGTTTGGTTAAACAAGCAAAAGGACATAAAGAAAAGCTCGCAGCGAAGGAGAGTAGGTTAAAAATGGAATGAACAAAGTAAACATGAGGTGGTTGAGAGTTTTAGGGAGACACAACCATACATAGGAGTTTATTTTTATCTGGAACGTCATTGTGTGTATGTGTGGGGGTAATATTGCCACTAATTTTGCATAATCTGAGATGAGACCCCGTCATCTTTCCTCCCCCACGACAATTTTATAACAGACAGCTAATAAATGTTTCATGGCAGAACAAGCTGCTCGCCTCTGCTTTATTAAATCTGAGATAATAAAAGCAGAGAGGGAAGGGGAAAAAAGGGTGAGAATAGGGGGTTGCATCAGAGAGGGAGAGATAGGGAGATTGGCATAGACTTTCCTCAAATCAACCTGCTGTATCTCCTGTTTCTGAGGTAACGGCCGGGCCCCGTTGTCCCCCGCCACCCCCTCCCTGCTGCTTCCCGCTCCGCCAGAGTCAGACAGGAAATGAGAAACGGGCAGACAGGATATTGCGTTCTGGTGGCCTGGGGATTAACTGTTTTATCTAAACTAACACACACCCGCTCACTCACGCTCACAAACACACATCTATATCCTGACACATAGCATTCATTCTTGGTGTCATTAGGTATAGATCACACACAACCAGAGACACACATCATGCAGCTTTTGGTGGCTACTTTACACATGGCAGGAGTTGAATATTTAAAGCATCAGAGCTGCTCCCCTACAGAGCTTGTTATTATTACCAGGGTGAACAGTTTAGAATAAAAGTCATGATGTGTAACTGTATAACTGTGAGATTGGCCGCAGGTCTCTGCTAAAATGCAAGATATGTATCTGTTCAATATCTCTTCAACCATGAGGTAACAGTTTCTTGAAATGCTGGACAGCACAGGTCGAGTCGACACGGTGCACAGGTGACAGCATCTTTAAGTGTTTCGGTGATGTTTTCTCCCTCTAAGCTCATCTGTTTACACTATGCAATAATTATATATACTTAGGTTTATGTGTGCTTTTATGAGTGATGCGATAAATGTCAATGTTTGTGTATGCAAGACAGTACTATATACATGCATACATACATGTACATGCATTTACATACAGCAGACCCACAAACATACACACGTGTTTGTAATGTCTGTGTGAGTGAGTGGTGGTGGGGTTGAAAGTATCGTGGGGAATGCTGGGAGATTTTAATAACACAGAAGCAGCGCAGGGAGATTTAATAAAAGGAGATGATGTGATTACTGAACCCTGGCTCTGAGCCATTTTGCTCCACAGAGCAATATCCGCCAAAAGTGTGCACACATATGTACACACACACACACACACACAGGAGCACACACAATTCACACATATCCAAGAAATACAAAACGAAATACAACTTAAAAATAAGATTGATGCATATCATTTGTTTCTTTTGCATGTATTTTCTGAATCCTTTGTTGTACCTTCATTTTCTGGGAAGCAACATTTATGTGTCATACTTTGCCTTCATAAGAGTGGGGGAATCAAAAGATCAATATCTCAACATATCACACTCTGATAATAATTGTATATTTTTTTAATAAATGGTCACGTTTCAAACTTAATGATGGTAATAAATGTTTCATGGGCCACTGTTTCACAGCTATGATCTTCTGAGCTCATTTACGACAAACCCCAATCAAGTGTAATCCATACTTTGTGTAGCTAAACCCATACCTGTTTAAATATTGATCACGACTAGAGACAACACACACAACACTGTAACCGCTCTTAGAGACATATACATCTTTATGGAGTGATTGTTTTCTAGTCTAGACAATGGTAAACTTGTCAGAGCTCACAGGCAAAACATTGCCACATGACACAGCTTAGAAAGATGAGAAAGCTTCTGTTATTCTGTTTGTATGCCTGGGATCTACGGTAATACACAAAGAAAAAACATGCTCACATCAGTGCTATACAATGCAACACTTTTCTCTGCTTCTAAATTTGATCTCATTATCACTGAGCTTATATTTCGTCATACGCTCTAACCTCCCGAAATCCATGGCACTGAACATGAAATCGTCATTTTAGAGTCTTCCTCAACCGTTACACATCACTTTCAAGACTCATCTGCACCAGCATCTCTATTCTTGCAGTTGTCTATGACACAGTAAATATTTGATTAAAAGTCCTAAAACTGAGTTTTCTCTTATGGATTAATGTGCTAGTGGTTGCAAATATACTGTATGAATAAGTTGTGATTTTCAAAGTTTTCATATAGAAAATTAAAAAGAATGGCCACATTTCTTTTAAAGTTTCTGCATAAAGCAGTTTATAGCATTGTGTGTAAAAGCATTGGAAAAGAATAAACATTGGGGACTTTAGATACTAAAAATTAGCAGAAAATATATATTTATTTAAAAAAGGACATTTGCATGTGAGCATTTTTTGCAAAATTTTGGAGAAGTTAATTTCTTACTACCTCCTCTGCATGGTTTGCATTTATTCATCAGGTTTGTTGCGATTTTTTTCAGCTGCACTCTGGACACAACCATGTGTGGATGATACTTCTATTAGAGGGATTAGACTGATCTACTTACAGACCCCCCTCTGTGGCAGTTACCCCAAGTTGCCTTCATGTGCCATGTTGAGTAAATTTCTATCGTGCTGTGTACACGCTGATTAGGGAGGTTGAGACTTAACCATCAGCATCATCAGCCTTGTGTCAAGCAGCTCTGACAATTCTGATCCGTTCAGCATTGTTCACAGTGAAAGCAGCGCTTTAAGATGCTGAAGTGTGTATTCAGTAAGAAAGTGAGACTGCACAAGGCATTGTGATTGGTTCTCCTCTTTTGTGGCAGATACTTTAAATACCACAAACTACGTTTTATAGTGAAACTCATTTTTATAGATGCATTGTAATACATCTGTTAAAAAGCAAATGAGAAAATTTAGTTAGTTTCAGGGGAGTTGGAAATAAATGTGTATAAGGTTGCTTATAGGGGTACTGATGTTTGCTTTTTGATATCAAGTTGGTGACACTGTCATTTGGGGAATTTGAAGAGTGTTTGGCAGATGGATTGAGAAAGATTAGCTGCAGCAGCTGCGTTTGGGACAGAATCACAGATTAGGAGCTCTAATGTGCAGACCTGGCTCATCTTTACGCTCCAGATTTGGGCAGCCACACCTTCTTATCACTCGGAGAGCTTTAACATTTCAACTTCCATCCTCTACTTTACCTGTTCCCTCCTTTTAAGTCTCCCTCCTTCACCAAGATTTAGGTTTTGCTGAGGTGATTTTAGTTTATTGCAGGTGTGTTAAAATCATTAAGAATGCAAAAACAATGAAAATCAGTATAAGTTAAAATGTTCAATAAGTGCATATACAAACATCTCTGTGCATGTGTGTGTGTGAGTACCTGTGTTTGTGTGTTTTGTGTGCATAAGTGAGAGCAGAGAGATTAACCCCATGCTATCACCAATCCCTGGTTATGAGTTTACAGCGTCTGTCTGGCCATCTCACTGTTTAAACAACAATCTAATTAATCCTGTCTTTATTAGTTTCAGTGAACTGGGGAGGCAGGCTGGGAGGGCATGAGGGAAAACTGGGAATGCTGGCAGAAAATGCGGTGGAAGGGTGGGGGGAGTAAACCAAGTGCAAGAAGAAGGATTTGAAAAGAATTTGAACATAGAGACTTGGACTCTGTGAATGGGATGTGAAGTGATTGTGATGCAGCAAAGAAACTGAAGTTATAAAGTAAAGTGGTCATGGGGAAAAGCAATAAACTTTAGACCATTTTAAGCTTTATTGTTTGAATTAAATATGTACTTTTAGTTTATGGAAGTTATATGTCTAGGCTAGGATTTAAAAGTTTTCAACATTGAGGTGTTTAAAGAAAATACAAAATATTATTAGCTCACTACTGCCATCTACTGTCGTAAAGGAGAAAACAACAGAATTAAGTGGAAACGACTGTAACTCATTTTAACAGATGTTCACCTTGTTGCACTGTGAATTGGGTAATGCCTACACAGCCTTTAATTAAGAGACTATTCTGATCTTCATTTTAATTGGAGCTGAGGGTAAATGGGTCAGATCTACTTGTTTACGTCTTTAGCTTCCGTTAACTCGTCCTTTTCAGTTTCCTTGACATGAATATATTAAAATTAAAAGAACATATGTTTGTGTTTCTGTATTCTTTCAGGCTTTTTGTAAGGAAGTGCAGTGCCTGCCTGCAGGTCATTGGACGCTCTGAGCTGATCATGCGAGTCCTAGGCCAGGTGTACCACCTGGGCTGTTTCAGCTGCTGCGAGTGTGAACGCCGACTGCAGAGAGGTGATGAGTTTGTGCTGAAAGAAGGCCAGCTGCTCTGCCGCATGGACTATGAAAAGGAGAGAGAAATGTTGGCTGCTATTAGTCCCACACCGACTGAATCAGGTAGTGTTTGCAACACAAGTAGCCAAATCACAAAAACCGTGCAAAAAAATGATTTTATTTCTTAGATAAATTCACTTATTTTCAATTTAATTGAAACATCATAGTTATCAGTGCAGCTAATTCCAATAAATCACTTAGTAGCACCTTGGGGAAAAATGTTGTAATCCCTTAGCATGTCTCACATCACTAAGCAGCAAATATGTAGACCGGCTCTGGTTAATGACCATTTGGGAAATGAATGGCAAAACAGCATGACTAAAGTCCTAGTCCTAAAAAGCATGAAGAGCGATTACACTCAAAAGCACTGTTGATATATAATCCCTGAATTTTAAACTAGGTGATTAGATATGTAGAACGGGGTTTCTGATATGTCCAATCCAATAAGTACAGTCAACTTCAGTTTCATTATTTCTTGTATTTTTTAAAGTTTATGGAATTGTTTTGTTTTTTAAAATGAATAAACTTCATACCATACCATACCATTATTTCACTTTTTTTTTTTACTTCTTACCAAAAAACAGACCTCGTCTCACAGGTACTCAATGGGCTTGATGAGTAGTTTTGTTATCTGCTTATCTTACTCAGTGAAAAGTGAGGATGAAGATGGGGGTGGGGGCTCTGGTGGTGGAAAAGGTGGTGATGAAGGCAAGGAGCACAAGCGTTCAAAACGACCACGCACCATCTTGACCACACAGCAGCGACGAGCTTTCAAGGCCTCCTTTGAAGTATCAGCTAAGCCATGCCGGAAGGTGGGTGGATCAGCGTATCAGTGGAAAAGGATGCCACAAGAAAACTTCTCGACTCTCCTATCAAAGTTCATTGTTCTTCCAGCTCTCAATCTGTAATGCATTTAATCAAGTTTGTTATTTAAAAGCAGTGAAAATCTCTAACCTGTAGGTAAGAGAAACGCTGGCTGCCGAGACCGGGCTGACAGTACGAGTTGTTCAGGTGTGGTTTCAAAACCAAAGAGCAAAGGTGGTTAGATTTTTATACAAGTTTAAAAATCCAAATTCTGTCTCACATATTTGGACAAATAGAAAATGCCTAAAGCATCTGATTTTGTTCCTAAGATGAAAAAGATTGCTCGTCGACAGCAGCAACAGCAGCAGCAACAGCAGGAACAAGAGCAACTGGGAGGGACCAGGAGAGGACCGAGCAGAGGGGGCCGCCAAAGCAATGATGACAGTGAGGGTAAGAGAGAGAAAAACTGAATCAAAATTTAAAAAATGTCAGCAATAATAAGAAGTTTCATGTTCACAGATGGGTCAAGTACTCATGGTATGGATGGCTTGCTGGGGTATCCATCTCTGCCACGTCAGCAGCTCCTGGCTCTGGACCCCAACATCTATGGAGGAGAGCCATTTCGACATGGGCTCACACCACCACAGCTGAACAGTGACCAACTCCACTCTTATGGTGAGACATAAAGATGCATGATATTGGATTTTTGGTCAATATCCGATATGTTAAAATTTATTTGGCCGATAACCGATAAAAAAAAAAAATTGTATGCCTCTTTTATGATTTTCTATTGTTGTCGTTATCCACTGTTGTCATCACTCTCTGTTAAAAAAATCAGGTCTCTCTTGTAAATGAGTCCCCGAGCCTCAATGGGATTAACCTGTCTAAATAAAGGTTGAATGAATAACCGATACCAATATTATTTCCCTCAGACCTACTTACAGAGACTACATAGCTTCCTCTGCTGTGAAATTAAAATACTACATTATTCTGACGGTCTTTGTCAGTTTGGACTGCTACCAAATGAAGATACCAAAAAAGGATGATGAAAATAATGTAACACTTCAACTTGGATTATGTTTAATGTCAAATTTATTCATGACATTTACTCTCTCTAACACAACCACAACATTCAAACAGTACAAATTTGTACATTTTCACAAATCTAAACTCAACGGCACGCGTGACGTCATAACGTTGTGCTGGCGCTGCAGGCATCCTTGGCACTGGCTTGTCAAACAAGAATAGTGCCTTATCTATCTATCTACCTACCTAATATATATATATATATATATATATATATATATATATATATGTATAATATATATACAGCACCTTTTATATCGGTGAGTTATTTTGATGGAATGGCCTATATTTAACTTTTATCGCTAATATTGTCCAATTCTGATGCCATGCCAATAATATTGTGCATCCCTAATGAGACACATTATTAAAGTTACTAATTTGAAACCGTCTACTTTTGTCCATTATCTTCCCACCTTCACTAATCACCTTGTTTTTATTGTATATCCTTGGTGTTTACTCAACACACTTCTAGTCCAGATGTCCACGTTCTTTCTTTGTCTCTACAGACTCTGAGACGGTCTTCCACGATTTGGATAGCGATGGAAGCCTCAGTCACCTTGGCGACTGTCTCTTAGCAACAGGGGAAGGTGGTCTCTTAGCAGGGCGAGTGGGAAACCCCATTGACCGTCTCTACTCCATGCAGAACTCCTACTTCACCTCCTGACCCTTATAAAACTGTGACCCTTTCCCCCTTGCGTTCAACCTTTCTCCTCAGACATGCAGCTAATGGAGTCTGTCCATCAACACGCCTGTGGGACCATTCTCAATTAAACAGGCTAGACCCGAACATACTTCCAAGCTTTTTTCACTGGTTCACATCATCCTGAGTTGTATTATCTCTATAATGATTAACAAACTGTTTGCACTTGCTTTGCTGAATAAGAATCACATGCTGGAATTTCAGTCACTATAAATGTTCAAGATAATGAACCTCGGTTTCTTCTGTGGTATTTATGTCATATTCAATGTGATGCATTTCATAGCACTTTCTAACAAAAATCAAATTGTGAAAATTATACCTATCAATACACGAGTTACAGTTAAAGATATAAAAACCAAGTTACATTTTTTGGGAGTCATGGCCAGTTAGGCACAGCTCAAGGGTCTAAATTGTGCTATTACACAATGTAGACCTATTTTAATAATTGAAGGTGAAAGACTAAATCGTATACAATGATGTATATGGATTGGACAACAATTTTGCTCTCAGGTTAGTGTGTAAGTTTGTGTAACCTGAGCCTCTACTCAGGAAATTGTGCTACATAGGATGACAATGTAATGTCCCTTGGACTTCTGGAACACAGAAATCAAAGCAAACAAAAGTTTCCAAGTGATTATTCCAGACTACATCTTTTGTTTTGATGCATGGACCAAATTTTATTTTGAAATTGTAAAAAAATACTTGATGCTACAGGGTCATACAAAAAAGCCTTATGCAGAAACAGGGTCATTAGGTGATAATTGCTTTAGTTTGTCCTTTTATTATGTAATCACTAAGAAACAGTGTAGTAAATTGCAACCAAAAGATGTACAATGCCCCAAATTTAGGACATTGAGTCCATGATGTTTTCCAAATATAAATGTATGACTGTGTTACAATTAATTGTTGAGATCATGCTCTGTAATAATTTCCTTGTCAAACATCATATTAGATACTGTTGGGTAGATATTTTGTACCTAATGTGATAATCAACAAATATTTAAACTACAGCATGATATTTATGTACCACAAAGTAGTTTTTTAGAACTAGCCTCCAATTTTAATTTGGATAGCAAACGTTGCTGAAAGCTTCAATATAGACTCATCTGGTGGTGCAGAATAAAATAGGAATAGGATGATACCAATCTCATTTAGATGTTTGTGATCAGCTACAGCCTGGGATATTCTTTTATGAAATAATATTTGATTCTGATAACAGACTCATGGTGTTTTTACAGTGATGTTATTGTGAATGTAACTTATTTGTGTGGTATTAGATGAGTTCTTAACTATTTTGTTCAGTGACAGCAAGGTGATGTGCTTTGGAATTATTGTTGCTGTATCTTCAATACAAACTGCTGTTTTATCTCTGAAGTAAAATTGCCTTATTTGTCCTAAGTACAATAAATGATGATACTCTGATCACTTGCTTATTTGACATGAACCAAAAACGTTAATAACTGAACCGGAAAGTGTCTGTTCTGCTCAGTGGTCACAGAGTTCATAACTCAACATCCTCCCTGTGTCTCTCTCAGTAGTCCAGCTGATTAGAGGTGAACAGCCTCCTCTTTTTCCTTTCTTCCCAGACTCCCTATTTTTCAGTGACTGGATAGTGAGTACTGGTAGAATTTGTGTGGGAGCAATACATTCCAGTTTAATATTTGACTATGACTCAGACCTGGAGAAGCCAACAGTGAGGGGAACTGACAAAAACAAGATAAAAACAGCAGAGGATTTTAACACCAAATGAGTAACGGAAGGCTTAAATCAATGTTGTAAACTGGTGTAGTAATTAAAAAGAATGAGCAAGCCATACTTTATTATATATAAAAAAAAAAATCAATAACGTTGAATAGAACAGAATGAGAGCAAAAATAGTCATTTAAAACGTTGAAACGTTTAGTGCTGCAAGCACTTATATTTTCCAGTGGTCATATTAAGCACCGAGAACAGGTATTTAAGTAGTCCCTGTACATACAGTGACATGGTGGAGTAAGTGGATGTGAAATCATCCAATCTGTATTGATGAGGACACCGATGACGTCTGATGATGATGATGCTGAATCTACGATGGCTGCTGTGCTGGATCCGTGGCTGAAAACAGAACAGAAATTAGTATGTATGACTGATTGTTAGATAAAAACATTTCTAAAAGTGTTCAGAATATGATTCATTTTGAGACCATATATATATATTAGAAATTTTGAATAAGACATTTCCAGTACATCCAGTGCTATATAGCATTAACAGCACATGAATACATGGACCACTGTGATGAAGACATATTAATTATCCTGCACAGCTACATCTTAAACAATTTAGTATTTTTATTTAATACAACTTCTGAGTTGTGATCTCTAAATGTAATTTCTTGTAATAACTTACATATTCCACTGATGTCCACTGTTTCTGCACAGCCCAAAAATCGAGACATTTGTGCTGTACAAGTGTTAGGGGTATCCTGGTATTCTTTCAGACATTGTTCAAATTTCACAAACTCTTGAGAACAGTCTTGTTTGATCTTCTGGATCACTGGACTTAAAACATTTAGGGACAAATCACAAATAAGCTTTAGATATGTATATGCAATTATGCCAAAGTCATATTATTTCTTGAAAAAACGTGAACAGGTGAGTTGCCTTACTGAGAGGATGTACATTTTGCAACCTTCGTTTTTAGTTCATGACACATTTGCTGCCATTTCGATGGGTTTGAGGCTACGCATGACCCATAGGCCTCCAATTCTTTTTGGCAATACCTTGCCGAAATATCCATAGCAGCTTGCCTAAACAGTAACAGATTATACAAAAATCCGCGATTACAATACAAACTGGTTCAATGTGACTTTAGCATTTACGTGATAAACGTGCTCTCGCATAGCAGTAACGGAGAGAACTGCATGTAAATGAAGCAAGACGTTTTCGTTGCAGAGCTATGAGCACAATGAAAATGTGACAAAAGTATTGCTAATATTAACTGCACTGAAACTCTTACATGTTGCAGAATGAAGATTTGTCGTACGACCTGAAGAAGCTTGTCCACCTTACTACGCATGCGATAGAACCGCCTTTGTGAACGTGAGCAAGAGCCGTATCAACCTGATTGGACAAAGAATGTCACATTGTGATGACGTTCTGCAATTTTATTGGTTGAATTTTGAGTCTGTCCGGTTTTTTTGTTACACCCCTTTTTCTGACGTTTTATTATTTAACTGGTAGTTTTCAGTCACACACTTTCGCGATCACAGATTAATTATTTTATATTTTAGAAGAAAAAAACGTGATTATTCTCGGTTTATGGCAATTTGTGTGTAGGCATTACATTTTAACCGCGTGAACGAAACAAAAAAAATATCTATTTTTTTCATTACGTGTCGTTACGTGTTACGTATGCGGAAGCTTCGGTCGGAGAACAGCGATTCGGTAAACGGGCTCTCAAGGCAGGGTAGCACACATATTCGTGTGTAGAATCGTATTTTTACAGGTTACAGAACGACGGGGGTGCCGTAGATGATAGAGGGGGCCAAAGAAGAGAGCAGAAAACAATGAACGACACCAAGAAAGACGGTAGTATGGCTGCAGACGGAGTCCGAGGACCGGGTGAGCTGCAAATGGCCCCCTCTGTGAACCACAACCAGCATGACAGCGGCACCGGCGACGAGCTGGTGAGCTCTGTGACCCTATACAGACGAAGACCGCGACTGCTACACGGCACTGTCCTCCCGTTTCTGGCTGTTCTCTACCCGGGCTGGCTGTATGTGTGGTTAGGAGTGTACGGTGCATCCGATTATCCGGAGGCAGGCCTCCTTGCGTTAGCAGCTATCGGGATCGCGCACGTCCTTACAGCGCTCTCTGGCTATTGGTCTGTGCACGCGCACTGTTGGCTCACTTGTTCCAAGGTAAACAAAAGTACCTACAATTGATATCAATAATACCATGATACTGTGCTGATGTCCCAAAGGGCACCGATGTTTTCCCTCAGGCTGTACGTCCCCCTGCATGTTTTACACAGAGATCAAGACACCATGGGCCCACATGCAGCAAGCAAGCAAATTAGGATCCATCAAATAATTGTCTGGCTCAAATACACTAGAATACTCTATTTTCTATATGCTGCTGTGTTGAGTAATTGGTATATTTAAGCCAAAGTATAGGTAGACATTCAGATAATAATGGTTTTATACAGCCTCTTTTATAAGAGTAATGTGTTATGAAAGAAAAATAACACCAAAATATTATTTCAAATAAAGAGTATTTGTAATTATCAAGTTACTTAAAATTCCAGTGACATTTCTCTGGGAAAATTTGCTTGGAAACAGCAACGTAACGAGTTTGAATCAGCTATGATCAGATACAGCTTTTGCGCATATAGTGTAAACAATAACAGTGCAGAGTTTGTTTCAACCTATTTACCGGAAATAATTCCATGAAATGTTTCTTATTGTGTTTCCAATGCAGCATTAGAAAAACGACCATTATGTTATCGTTATCTTAAAATGAGCAATGCGCGTTCAAACGTGCTGCAGGCTACATTTATTGCTTGTCTGCATTGTTGCAACGCATTATGCTCAGAAAAAGTGTTAACCAGACACTATTGGTAAAATAGAGTTTTTCTTTTGGTATTTAGATGTTTGCATTTTGCATTTCAAGCCAATAAGTTTTACTACTCTACTCACAAATGAGTAATTTTAATTATTGTTTTATGAATGGGCCTTATGTTTACACTAAACAAATTGCTGTTTGTCACTTCCTGTCACATTTAATAGGGAAAACATTTGTAGCTTGTAGCAAAAATAACCATGTCCTAAAGTATGTGATTTTGTCATCTATTGTGAATTCAGGAGCCAGACTCTAATGTGGCTACACTTGCAAAGGTCATTCCCACCCCCAATAACGGTTCTGCTGAACTTGTCGCACTACAGAGGGACCAGGTTAGTTCACATCATTACTGACATAGTGCGATTGAAAAGATTTTCTTGTTCTCACATTTTCTGCCTAAAACAGTTATGTGAGGGAGACAACAGCTCCGTCACCCTTCAGTCACTATTATTGTTTAGAAACTGATCCTTTTATTAAGTGTAGTTAACTTATTTTTGTACTTCAGTTGACCATTTGTATAAGTTTTAATTTGCCACATCTGTTACAAAAGTATGTATTTATTGCTATAACAATTGTTTGCCTCTTTCTTGTTCTAATTAACAGGATGAGAATGGAGAAAGGATCTTATCTTTTGAATTTCAAAAGATTCGTTACGTTTTTGACTCTAAAGAGAAGAAACGTTTCCTTCCAATCGCATTTCCCATTAACAACCCACTGGGCTACTTTCAGTCGTGGCGTGGCTACCAAGAAGAGAGTGAGCTCAGAGCAGCAGAAAAGCAATATGGGACCAATCGTGCTGAGATGGTAGTGCCAGATTTTCTGGAGCTTTTCAGAGAGCGGGCAACAGCTCCCTTTTTTGTTTTCCAGGTATGTGTGTGTGCATGTTATTAGTCCGGGTTACAAAGATTTATTCAGTGGAAAAAAAGTAAAACAATCTGCTTTATTTATCTTTATTAGGTGTTCTGTGTGGGACTGTGGTGTTTGGATGAGTACTGGTACTACAGCGTTTTTACATTGTTCATGTTGGTGGCGTTTGAGGCCTCCCTAGTTCAGCAACAAATGAGGAATATGTCAGAGATACGCCGCATGGGAAACAAACCCTACATGATCCAGGTATGCTTGCTCAAATAAACAATGTATTACTTATAATTTATTATTCAAGTTATAAAAAAAACAGTTGTTAGTAAGTTGTTCTCGGATTTACTAAAATCATGAATCATTCATAAATGGTTCAGAAAATCATTCTCTTATCCCATAACATGTTAAGGTCTTGTGTTTTTAATCAGTGTATTTTGTGTGTGATAAAAGGACAATTTAAAGTCTTGTGTGACTTGACATGAGTTCATAAAGGATTAGAGCTTTAAACAAAAAATATACAATAAAAAAATTTTATGCTTTAAACAGTCAAAGCCATTTCTGTATCAGATAAGGAACCAGGCAGGTGTGATCATAACATTCTGTTTATTAGGTATCTTTCTCAAAGCAAACCCAAATAAGTTGATGCACTTTGTGACAGGTATATCGCAACAGAAAGTGGAGACCTATTTCTAGTGATGAACTTGTCCCTGGGGACATTGTCTCAATAGGTAAGCATCCAGTCCTATATTTCATCTTCTTAAATCATTCATTACGTCAATCATTCAATCATTTCAACATCTTGACTTTGCATGTGCTCAAAATTTGTATTACTGTTTGAATTTCGTAGGACGTTCACCCCAGGAAAACTTGGTCCCATGTGATGTGCTGCTTCTCAGAGGTCGTTGTATTATAGATGAGGCCATGCTGACTGGAGAGTCTGTGCCACAGATGAAGGTTAGTAAATAAGAGATTATGATACACTGATAGAACTTTTTTCTCCCCTCATCTGTAACACAAATATTTATTAAATGTGTGCAGGAACCTGTGGAAGACTTAGACCCAGAGCGAATTCTGGACCTTCAGTCAGACTCTCGCCTTCATGTCATCTCTGGTGGGACAAAAGTGGTCCAGCACAGTCCTCCTGTAAAAACCAGTGCAGGGCTCAAGCGTAAATGCAAATTCCTTATTTCATTTATATGTTAACAGGATCGTACATCTGCTGTTGAATTTGTGCATTTAGTAGTATGTCCATTTATGGCTCTTCTTTACAAAATGTGTCTATAACACTCTTAAATCTTTCTGTGCAGCCGTTGACAATGGCTGTGTGGCCTATGTACTGAGAACAGGATTCTATACCTCTCAGGTAAAAAAAATGAATTTTTTTTTTAATGTTGGTCTTTTTGCGTACCGGTAGTTTTTTTTTTTTTAGTTGTTTAAACATTTTAGAGTATACTGAGCCAATATTTTGTGTCTTGACAAACTTGTTTCTAGGGTAAACTGTTAAGGACCATTCTTTTTGGTGTGAAGAGAGTGACTGCAAACAACTTGGAGACTTTTATTTTCATTCTGTTCCTGCTAGTGTTTGCCATTGCTGCTGCTGCATATGTGTGGGTAGAAGGTGAGGTACACAGAACTAGTTTATCAAAATATATTTGCTGTTTAAGAACAATCTATCGGTGACTTTTTTTTCAAAATCACTGCTAATAAGTAAAAATTAAATATGAACATATTACTGAAAAAAATCTGTTAATGTTATGTGTCACTCCCTCAGGGACCAAAGATGCCAGCCGAAATCGCTACAAGCTTTTTCTAGAGTGCACACTTATCCTCACATCAGTGGTTCCCCCTGAACTCCCTATAGAGCTTTCTTTAGCAGTTAACACATCTCTTATTGCCCTGGCTAAGCTCTGTAAGTATGTTTGTGCTTCTGTTCTGCTTGATTGCAGAATATTTCTTAGAAGAAACGGAAGAAGATTCTTTGAGTACAAACCATGTGTATTTGTATATATTTCATTTAATGAATTTGTTCCTGCTCAGATGTATTCTGCACAGAGCCCTTCAGGATACCATTTGCTGGGAAAGTAGAAGTTTGTTGTTTTGACAAAACAGGAACACTGACCAGTGACAGTTTGGTTGTTCGAGGGGTAGCAGGCCTCAGGTAAACAATTCTTTCAATTTCCTCTTTTTGTAGCATGTAGCATTCTGTGGTCTGGTTTTAGTTAGTAAATATTTAGATTTATTTGCATTATATAAAGTATATTAATTTATGTTTATGTTAATGGCAGAGAGGGAAAAGAGGTGATACCTGTGTCTGAAATCCCAGTTGAGACGCATCGTGTTGTGGCCACCTGTCATTCATTGGTTACTCTAGATGATGGACAACTGGTGGGAGATCCTCTAGAGAAGGCAATGCTGACAGCCGCTGACTGGACCCTTACTAAAGGTTCTTTCTAAATTCTCAGTGCAAGGCAATGGCTTGTATGTAAAGATGATTCATATAATGTGTGAATTACAATTTTGTGCCTACATGTTGTGTTTCTCTCTTATATTTACATGTGGATAGTGTGATTTAAAAAAAAACATTTTTAAGTATGACCAAACTTGTACATCATAGTGTATTTCTTCAGATTTTTAGCATTTGATTGTAAATGCTATTAAATGTTAGAATTTTGGGTGTTTTTAAAGTAAAAACCTAATGTGGACACCTCAGTGAATTTTGTTTCTTAAACCAGATGAAAAGGTGTTCGCACGAGGCATCAAAACCCAGGGACTTAAAATCCACCAGCGTTTCCATTTTGCCAGTGCTCTGAAGAGGATGTCAGTCTTGGCCTCCTATGAAAAACTCGGATCCACTGAACTGTGCTACATCTCAACAGTCAAGGGTGCTCCAGAGACACTGAGGGGAATGGTACATTCTGGCCCCATTTTTATACATTCTACATTTTATACATTGTCTTCTAGCTTAATTAAGCGTGTCATAATATTACTGATTGTAGTTTACAGAATGTCCGGTAAATTATGACCAAGTCCACAAAGAAATGTCTCGGGAAGGAGCTCGAGTGCTGGCCTTAGGTTACAAGGAAGTTGGACACCTCAGTCATCAGCAGGTTGAATTTAACTTTTCTTTTTTTTCCCCAAACAACCAGAGTTTGTCTGATTTATCATGTTTGTGAACAGATCTGCAAGAAACTGACTAAAATGTTTCTGAATCATGTAGGTCCGGGAGATAAGCCGTGATGCTCTGGAGTGTGATCTTCAGTTTGTAGGATTTATGGTTGTGTCATGTCCACTCAAGAATGACAGCAAAACGGTCATCAAGGAGATCCAAGAAGCATCTCATCATGTAAAAAGTTGACACTGCTGAATTATGCATATTTAGCTAGACAAGCGAAGCAAGGCTTTGTGAGATGTCTAATTCTGCTGTTTCCCTTTTCAGGTGGTTATGATTACAGGAGATAATCCTTTAACTGCATGCCATGTTGCAAGAGAGCTCCACTTTATCCAGAAAGAGCATACACTTATATTGCAGCCCAGCCCTAATCAGGGTATGATGGGTATCTTTTTGCCAAATTACTTGTATAACTCAATGCAGTGAGTGATTTGACAAAAAACATTGATAAAGGCAAAATTATATATTTTTGTTTTGTTTTCCAGGTGAGTGGTACTGGGAATCCATTGATGGCAGTGTGTCTGTATCGCTGCCCCCTCCTTCTGTTTCTACATTTGTGCGTCAGTTTGACTTGTGTGTAACAGGAGAAGGGCTGGCCAAATTGAGCAGTGATCCCCGGTTACTCCACGCTTTGTTGCCACATATACGAGTGTTTGCTCGTGTCAGTCCAAAACAAAAGGTAGGTTGTAAAGCAGAAGCGGCAGTAGTTGTAATTTTTGTTCTCTTTCTCTCTTTTTTTTTAAAATGTTTTTTAAAGTCAAGTATTGGAAAAACAAACCGTTACAAACACAGTACTTAAAACCAACTTATGTGCATACCTTTTTTTTTCTTTTTAGATGAATTAAAAATGTACAACGTTTATGATTATGATAGTTGGTCATTGCTGTATGTACTGTATTGTATGATTTATTGGTCCAATGTATTTTAGGAGTTTGTGATCACCAGTCTAAAGGGGCTGGGTTATGTGACACTCATGTGTGGTGATGGCACAAATGATGTAGGAGCTCTTAAACATGCTCACATAGGTAAGATTTATCAGTTATAATAAACAAGAGTATTGAAATGAAAGATGCTATGAATGTCTGCAACAGTGAGCATTGATGGTTTTGTTTTCCTGCAGGTGTAGCTCTCCTAGCCAATGCCCCTGAGCGCTTGCCTGAAAAGAAGAAACGAGGGAGAGAAAAAGAAGCATCCACATCAGATCCCAGACCTTTACCTCCTATTGGTTCAGGTGCCAAACAGAGCTCCAGGGCAGCTAGACAGCGGATCATGATTCAGAGGGAAGAGCAGCTTGCAGCACAAAAGGTGCTCTACTTTATGAACTACTGAAATTATATGCGTCTTGTACTTACAACTCGTTGTTTTTGTGAAGTGCAGCCTGCTGGATTGCCATCTTTTACCCACCTTTCAGCTAAAACCATAAACTTATTCAAAGTGTTTCCTAAAAGGCAACTTGTGGGTTAATGACCCAAGTAACAAAATGCAGGGAAAGATGGCAAAGGTTTTTTGTTACTGATTATATCCACTAGAATAACATTTAGAACACCTTTTTAAAGAGATTTGAGCCCTTCAAAAACAACTCTGCAGAGGAGAAACTTTGCTGCAGTGAGTTTAAAAGAAAATATGCATCTAGGGGTAATTCTGTGTAAACAAAATAGAAAGCTGATTAACAATTTTAAGTTTGATATTAAACATTTGCATACACTGTATATCCCAGAAATGAATCATATCCTTTATCGGAGAGGACAATAAATTACTTGAATTAGGACAAAATAACTTGTGGTGTGAGGAAACGTAGGGAAAACTGAGTTGGTGATTTATAAAATGTTAGCTGGCAATTGCTTTTATAATTGTCACAGTACAGCAAACTGTATAACTAGTAACTGTAACACACATTAATGTATAATTAAACTAGATGTGTTAGAATGTCAATCAGACACAAGACACAACCAAATATTAAATGTCAGCTTGTAGGGTATTGACACAAAGTGAAACATCTGTTTCATTGTGCAAGAGACATCAGAATTGCACAGAGGGGAAATCAAAAGACAAGAGAAAGGAAGGGCAAACTATTAAAGTATAAAAGCAGCCTCACGAACTTTACATCTCAGTGCCCCCATTACATTCAGTCTTCTGAGCTCATATTGTGATGTTGTGGCAGGCTGATTCAGATTAAAAAGTAGAAGAACATTCAAGAGCAAATGCCTGATATTTATATTTTAAAATTCTGCTTTCTATATCATATTTGGAGTACCGTCCAAATTTAAGGTGCATGATGTTCTCATATAAAATGAGTGCCATATGGTGTCATTTTCCTTATTAAAGAGGTATCTTTAAATTTATATCTCCTTACCTGCACAAAGTACATCCAGGCAGGAAAACTGCAGTAGTTCTGAAGTTCAGGAAGAGTGTTTCTTCTGGCAGGTAGCTCAACTGACTGAGTGGATTCCTCATAATGGAGGCTGAGCACTCATCACAGCTGGTTCAGGTTTGATCTTCAAACTGTGGCCTTTGGCTGCATCTTTAAAAAGTTTCACATCTGTCCTGAAAGTCTGAAATTTGTGCAGCCTGCTCAAACAGTGGTCAATTTGATTAAAAATAGCTAAAAGGTCAAACCACCATAATCACGCCTATAAAAACCTCACGCTCACCAACTCAACTCAGACAAAGTAGAGCCACTTCCTATTTATAAATTTGTCATTTACATTTTAAAACATGTTTACAGACATATGTACCCTTTGTGACTGACACAGCCTGCAAGTTGCACTTAAAAATGTATTTTACTCTAAACATCTGGAAATTTCTGTTGCAGGAAAGGATCAGCCAAGTTCTACGAGAACTCGAAGAAGATCAGGTACAAGTAGTTAAGCTGGGTGATGCTTCCATTGCTGCCCCTTTCACATCGAAACTCTCTTCCATACAGTGCAGTGAGTAACATATGTGACTTTTCATCTCTTGACATAATTTACTAAAATACAATCATGAAGCTGTTTCCCACTTCTGAGATTTTTTTTTTTTTTACTTAAATCTCCAGTCTGCCATGTAATAAAGCAAGGTCGTTGCACTCTGGTGACAACACTCCAAATGTTTAAGATCTTGGCTCTCAATGCACTAGTGCTGGCCTACAGTCAGTCTGTTCTCTACCTCGAGGGAGTCAAGTTCAGTGATTTCCAAGCGACTCTGCAAGGCTTGCTTTTAGCCGGATGCTTCCTCTTCATTTCTAGATCAAAGGTGAGAATTAAAGTTTTCAAAAGCAGAGACTAACCATGGTTCTATTATTGGCCTTTCTCAGAAAACAATGTTTAGTTCATGCCTTTCTTATAAGCTAACATAAGCTAGCTTTTTTTTATGTCAAAATGAATAACTTTTTATCCCGTTTGTGCAGCCTCTGAAAACATTGTCTCGAGAACGGCCCTTACCAAACATCTTCAATCTTTATACAGTGTTGACTGTGTTGCTGCAGTTTGCGGTTCACTTCTGCAGTCTTGTGTATCTTTACAAAGAGGCACAAAGCAGAAGTCCACCCAGGTAAGTCAAAGAATGAATGAATGTGAGAAAACACAGCAATTCTTCTTGTATAGTTACTTCTTTACATTTTAGCAACAAAATGGTGTCCATACACTACTACCACTAAATAATTACAAATGCTACATTTTATGTACCTGTTTGGTCCTGTGCATGATCACGAGTAGCTGGTGTCTATCTCCAGCAGTCATTGTGCAAGAGGCAGGGCACACCTTGGATTGGTTTCCAGTCCAGAACATAGTCACATGGAGATGAACAACCATGCACAAACATAGTCATGGTCCCTTATATTCTTATGTTTTATGGTTGAATATCTTTTTAATATTGTTTTTGTAAGTGTTAAAAATGTTTTTTATTAACATTATATGTCAACATTATATTCTTTATCCTCACTTGCAGAGAGGAGCAGTTTGTTGATCTGTACAAAGAGTTTGAACCCAGTCTAATAAACAGCACTGTGTACATTATGTCCATGGCCATGCAGATGGCCACCTTTGCCATTAACTACAAGGTACTGCTTTCTACTATTAGTTGATACCTTCTTTTCCTTTAGAGTATATTTACTACACTAATTACATTTTTTTGTGTGTATATAAGGGCCACCCATTCATGGAATCTCTTAGTGAAAATCGACCATTACTGTGGAGCATTGCCCTTTCAGGTTTAGCGATTGTCGGACTTCTTTCTGGTTCTTCACCAGAATTCAATGAACAATTTGCTCTTGTAGATATTCCAACTGAGGTGAGCCAAAGTTATTTTAAATAAGTTTTTTGTGCCTTGCAATCCTAGTATTGTATATCCTGTGATATATTGTGATACATGTCTTGTATTTTTCTTTTGCAGTTCAAATTCATCATTGCCCAGGTTCTAGTGGTGGACTTTGTTGCCGCTCTGCTAGTGGACCGTGTACTGCAGTTCTTATTGGGCAAAGGAACTCTCAGGCTGCCTTCTTGAACTTCGTGCCAACAGCAAATGCTGCCCTTATAAACCAAACTGTAAAGGGAAAAAGGACTATAGAGGGGGGAGAGAATTACAGCTTTTGTGACAGCTGAGACAGTCATGGCATGAAGTACTGTTCACTCTGCGTATTCCTTCCTTTGTCTTGTTCTATCTCCCTTAAATATGTTTTTTATTTTTATCAATTTCCCCCCCACACTTACCCACTTGATTTCTAATGTTTTTCGTGACTTTTTGTCCCTCTTTTATTTCTCCCTTTTTATATTTTCTCCTCACTCCTGCAAAAGGCCATGAAGACAGCAGTATTGAGTGGAGTTTTTTGTGCCAGCCAGAGTGAAAACTACAGGCACAAAAAGGGGCATTCTCCAAGAGAATTGCAATAGTGTATTGGATTTTCCCCCTCCTTTGTTTTGTAAAAAAAGAAAAATATCTTTAACAGACTTATAAAGACTTGAACTTACAAATGATATAGTCTGCCAAGTGTTTTGTTAAGTAAAAGTAGTCTACTGATGGAAAATAAGAATGTTCAACTGGTCGTAGATTATATTGTTTCCAGAAGCAGGTAAGTAAAACATGATCAAGATTTAATTATACCATAACTGTACATCAAAAGACAGACATGTTAATTTTACATGACTTTGGCCAAAACAAAAGTGCAATTTTATTAGCATTAGTTGATTAAACATGACGATCCATTCATTCATCCATCTAGCCATTATCTTTTACCCGCTTCTTCCTTTTCTGGTCACGGGGGTCACAGGTGCCCATATCCATCTGTCACTGCAAGAGGCAGGGTACACCCTGGACAGGTCGCAAGTTCATCACAGGGTCACATAGAGACGAACGAGACAAACAATCATTCACTCTCACTCCCACCTATGGACAATTTAGCATTACCATTTAGCCTAACATGCATGTTTATGGTCTGTGGGAGAAAACCCATGCATGCACTGAGAGAACATGCAAAATACCCAGAAAAGACCCCCGGACCGGGATCCGATCTGTTGACCTTGCTGAGAGGTGGATGCTCTACCAACTGTGTCACCGTGCCGCCCATGACTTGATCCACTCATCTAAATTACCAATGCACGTTCTAAAAGATCATCTAAAGAAAATTGCCCAGTTTTTCATATTAACTTTTAATTCACATATTTATATAAACCTTTGTATCACAAACAAAACAGTAACTTATCAAGCTTCAAATTATTTGGCTAATGCAATACCACTGTGAATAAAGATTGAAATGGAGCCTCAATGGATCATCAAATCTAAATAAGTGCTTATTTTTCTTGGGTGAAATATAATACGTATACCCAAGTTTGTCAAAAATAACTATGAGAAACCTGGCATTGATATTTTACTGATTTAAAAGATTTTTCCCCTACATTTAGGTATAAAAAGTTTTTTTTATTTAATGTATAAAACAGTCATAAGGCTCTACTCATTAATTAGAGGACACATCATCCTCTTTCCTTTTACAGACAAAATCATTCAGTTACCATTACATTATTTTATATTTTTATAGCTGAATATGTGGGCATAAGAAGTTTACTTGTTCTTTTTTTAATAGGAACTAAGAAAAACGCTTGGTGGTAGACTTGGCACATTTACATTTTATTTGCATCTGCAGATCCTAAACAGCTGTATTTGACTTTATTTATATTGAATTACTAATCAGACTTTTTAAATTATTTTAAAACCAACATCAAAATAGCTGAGATTTCCTAATTTTATACTCTGTGAAATATGCTGTTAACTTGTTTTTACTAAATGTGTGCTTAATGTCAATTATAAATGTTTTTTTTTTTTTTCTCCTTACTTTGTCAAACCCTTAATACTGGACAGGCTTGAAGACTGTCTGGAAATAACATGATGCAGGTTTATATATGGCACCTGTCAAGGGTGTTCTTGTGTTAAAATGATCAAGAAATGTGGAAAGAAATGGGCACTGGAACTGAAATGTTAAAAACTCAGAAAGGATATAACGTTAAATGTTTAATCAAATAGTAAAAAATTTGCTTTTCCCCTTTTTATGTTGCTTTAATCAGATTAAGATAAAAAGAAAACAGGAGGACCATGCTTTGATTGTTAACATTTTATTACAAAGAAAAATTAGGCAGTACATCCCAGTATGAGGCTTTTTCAGTTGCCAGAATCAGACTACCGGAAATCTAAGAATGTCAGAATGTGTCTAGTAGAACAAAACGATGGTAAGACCGATACAGCCAACATCATCATCATAACTGGAAGGTCATATCACTTTAGAGGGCAGCATGACCTAACATCAACCAAATCATACTTTACATGGTGATTCTGTTGCCTCCCCATAAGGAGAAGACTTTTCAGTAAATCTTATTATTCCACAACACCCAACATATTTGACAAAACAATTGTTTAAAGTTGTACAAATTCATAATCTGATTGTTTCATTGAAGAAGCACTTCTATATATTACAAAACATGAAACAATTTATAAATTATTGTTGGACAGAGTGGGATGTGCTTTTGTTCGATTTGGACAGATAAAGTCTTCATCTAAAAGAAAAAAAAAGAAAGAAAGCAATTAAACAATGCCATAAAGGAAAACAAATTGTAAAATATCTAGAATAATGCTCCATTCTCAGTTGTGTCAAGGAGCTAACTTGCTCTTGCATCCTTGTAAGAGAACACTTTTAGATCAAGTAAAAATAAAAGCATGAAGGAGTAGTGAGAATTGTGGCCTAATTTCTTGAAACGGTTCATAGGATAGGCTTTTATCCAGAAATATCACAATTGTAGCCTCCATTTTTGAATCACCATGGCCCATTTATTACAGTTTTCATTTTGTTTTTCACAGTTAAAATATTAGATAATATCATTTGCAACCAATATTTGTAGAATAATTTACTATTATTATTTTACCCCGTTATAGTAAAAAAAAGTTGACTTTAAAATGCAAAAACTTAAAAAAAAATAGACATAGAACATATTTACAGTTGGCTATGTTATAAATTTTCATCCACAACTCTGATCGCACTTGTTTGAGCTGTTTCGCACTCTCAACACTACATTTCCCATAATGCTTAGTTAAATGGGGCGCGGCGCGCGCGAATCATTTGAAAGTAAAATGGCGGAAAAGAAAGCAGTTGATGTGCGAGACTGGTCTGTATTATGCATTTTAAAGCTCGTGTTACTGTCTGTTTATGTTAAATAACTGTTCTATACTCATGACACGTTAATAATTTTAGCTACAACAATATATCTGTCATATTTGTCCGAATTCCAAACTTGTTTGATTGTTTATTAAAAAAAAATTCTCACAGTTGTGAAGCTGCCACCGTGAATGGTACTCCGATCATTAAGGTAAGACATTACCTGAAGTTTGTAGTTTCTCACTTAAAGGAGCTTTTCAACCGAGATTCACTGGCTCGTGTCACGTCCCCTTCTCGTAGATCAGCTCGGAGGCTCGCACATTGAAAAAACGCTCCTCCAAAAGCCCTATCTCAAGTCCCGCACAAAAATCTCCCCGCATCGATTCTCTGTCACCTACAACACAGACACCAAATCCAGAAGATGAACAGTCAGGGACGGATAAAGAAGAAATGCAGGAGGAAAGCACAGCAAGACCTACCAGCCCTACACGCAGGAAATCCTGGAGAAGAGCAACCTTAAGCCGACGCTCACTCCCTGCCCTTCCCAACCCATATCTGGGTGAGACTTGCTTGTTTCGGTTACTAAAATAAGAT